ACGGACGACCTCCACTTCTATGTGCAGGACGTGGAGACCGGTAACCGAAGGCGGGGAGGAATGGGTGGCAGTGGGGAGGGGGCTGTGGAAGGGGGCTTCCTCCTACACCCTGCGGGATTCCCTGCTTTGGGGCCCAGAGTGGAGCTGGGGGGCCTAGAGGAACCCCATAGGATGCAATAGCGAGGAGGTCTGCATGGAGGAGGGGCGAACAGTCTTCAAGGGCTTTCACTGACCCAGCCATGGACCCCCCCTTGATCTGCTGGTGGGGGGGGCGGTGGTACCCTGGGCCCGGTGTCTGTGGCAGAGCAGGGGCGTTGCCTAGTGCGGCTCCAGGAAGGAAGCAGCTTGGAGGGAGGGAGAGAGGTGGCCGGTAGAAGAGTCCTCCTCCCGGCCTGGGCCACCTCCCTCCCTCCCTCCAAGCTGCTTCCTTCCTGGAGCCGCACTAGGCGTCACCCCTGTCGTTGCTCTTCTCCAGCCGTTTAATGATTCAAGGTGGGCCTGAATCATTCATGGCCGTGCAGCCCAGAAGCGTCCGTGCGCCACGTTCAAAGCCTGCTAATGTTGGGGGGGGGGGGTCTTTGAGGTCAGGCACAATCACAACTGGCGCTGTCCATGCCGAGAGACCTCCATCGGGGTCTGGGGGCAAGGTGCCTCTCTTCTGCCCTGGGTGGGGAATTCCCAGAGAGTTGTGTGGAGGGGGCTGCCATAGACCCCAATGTTTGAGATGGGGGGGTGGGCTTTGGTGCAGACACCCCTCCTTTGTGGCTCATGCCACCCCCTCATTGAAGAGGGGGCAGCCGTAGGCCCCAATGTGTGTGATGGGGGGGGGGGCTTAGTGCAGACACCCCTCCCTTGTGGTTCATGCCACCCCCCACCCCCCAATTGCAGGGACCCAGCTGGAGAAGTTAATGGAGACCATGCGGAGTGAGATCGCGGCCCACCCGCCCGTCGAGGGGTCCTACACGCCGCGCCGCGGGGACTACTGCATTGCCAAGTTTGTTGACGGAGAGTGGTGAGTGTGGGGAGGAGGGGAACAGGAGGGGGTCAGGTGGGCCTGGTTGAGGGGGGTAGGGGTGATGTCCATAGCAGGGCAAGGGGTCGCGCTCTCCAGAGGGGATTGCCAGGGCTAGGGGGACCCTCCTCGGGGCAGCATCAGATGCACAAGGGTTGCCCTGCCACTGCGTGTGGGAGGAGCGCTTGGTGTCTGTGGCAGAGCAGCCAGTGCCATATATAAGCTTGTGGTAGGAAACAGGAGTAGAGACACATAGGAGACCCTGGTGAGGTGTTGGAGGAATCTGAGCGGTTAGGCTCAAAACATAACCCTCGGTTGGGGTGACAGATTAGAGAGATGATTGGCCAAAATTAACAAAATGAAGTTCAACGGGGACAAATGCAAGATACTCCACTTAGGCAGGAAAAACGAAATGCAAAGATACAGAATGGGGGACAATGCCTGGCTCGAGAGCAGGACGTGTGAAAAAGATCTTGGAGTCCTCGTGGGGAGGAAGGGGAACATGAGCCAGGAATGTGATGTGGCGGCAAAAAAAGCCAATGGGATTTTGGCCTGCATCAAGAGGAGCCTAGTGTCTAGATCTAGGGAAGTCATGCTCCCCATGCTCTATTCGCTTTGGTTAGACCACACCTGGAATATTGTGTCCAATTCTGGGCACCACAATTCAAGAGAGATATTGACAAGCTGGAATGTGTCCAGAGGAGGGTGACTAAAATGATCAAGGGTCTGGAGAACAAGCCCTATAAGGAGCGGCTTAAGGAGCTGGGCATGTTTAGCCTGAAGAAGAGAAGGCTGAGAGGAGATATGATAGCCATGTATAAATATGTGAGAGGAAGCCACAGGGAGGAGGAGGGAGCAAGCTTGTTTTCTGCTTCCTTGGAGACTAGGACGTGGAACAATGGCTTCAAACTACAAGAGAGGAGATTCCATCTGAACATGAGGAGGAACTTCCTGACTGTGAGAGCCGTTCAGCAGTGGAACTCTCTGCCCCAGAGTGTGGTGGAGGCTCCTTCTTTGGAAGCTTTTAAACAGAGGCTGGATGGCCATCTGTCAGGGGTGATTTGAATGCAATTTTCCTGCTTCTTTGGCAGAATGGGGTTGGACTGGATGATGGCCCAGGAGGTCTCTTCCCACTCTTGGATTCTATGATTCTAGGATTCTATGCTGGAAGGGACGTCATGGGCCATCATCCAGTCCAACCCCATTCTGACAAGAAGCAGGACAATCACGTTCAAAGCACCCCCATAGATGGCCATCCAGCTTCTGTTTAAAAGTCTCCAAAGAAGGAGGCTCCACCACACTTCGAGGCAGAGAGTTCCACTGCTGAACAGCTGTCTGCTCTCTCTGCAGGTACCGCGCTCGTGTGGAGAAGGTGGAGTCCCCGGCCAAGGTGCACGTCTTCTACATCGACTACGGCAATGTGAGTGGAGCTGGTGGGGAGGGGGAACTCCAGTGGGCCCCCAAGTCCAGATGGTCGGGTCCTGGGCAGTAGGGCAGCCCCATCTCCCCAAGCCCCAGAAGCCCATTGGGGTGGAGGGGGGGGCTTGCCTCAAGGCAACCTTCAGGCTGTAGAGGCTGTGGAGGATCTCTGGCTCAGGATGGACACCAACTTCCAAGAAGGGGATCTTGGCCCAGGGGTTGGGAATCAGGAGCTGTGGGGCTCAAAATAACCCTCACTTGGGGGGCAGAGGGTGATCCCACACAATATATATAAATCAGAGTGCCAGAAGCACAGTTCATAATCAGCAGAGCAAGGATTGGTTTCCATTCAGCAGGATGGAACAGGATTGCAGATCCACAACTTCATAGGTCCTGAAAATAATGTTTGGTGGCGCAGTGGGTTAAAGCGCTGAGCTGCTGAGCTTGTTGACCAAAAGGTCGCAGGTTCGATTCCAGGAAGCGGCGTGAGCTTCCGCTGTCAGCCCTAGCTTCTGCCAACCTAGCAGTTTGAAAACATGCAAATGTGAGTAGATCAATAGGTATCGCTCCGGCGGGAAGGTAACGGCGCTCCATGCGGTCATGCTGGCCACATGACCTTAAAGGTGTCTATGGACAACGCCGGCTCTTCCGCTTAGAAATGGAGATGAGCACCACACCCCAGAGTCAGACATGACTGGACTTAATGTCAGGGGACTACCTTTACCTTACCTCTACCTAAAGTCCAAATAGATCCATTCTGGAGAGGAAAGGTTCTTGGAGCAAACTAGCTATCTTCTAAGGAAAGGAAAAAGGAAAAATAACAACGTAGCCACATCTACTCCATCTTGCCTGGAGAATGGCAAGAGGCCTCCTCACTCAAGAAGTGTGAGGCCAAAATGGAGAATTGACCACATGGCCTCACTAGGGCAATAAAAACCACCTTTAAGGAGGAAGTTAGGTTTTCCCTAAAGAGATCACATTGCTAAGTATTCAGAGAAGGAGAAGATAGTGGCATGCGGGAGGGGTAAGCCAACCCCCCTCCTAAGCCCCTTCTTCTATTAATTCTACTAAATGGAAGAATTAATAGAAGGAGGGGCTTGGAAGGGGCTTGGCTTATTCCTCCTGCATGCCACTATCTCCTCCCCCTTTGAATACTCAGCAATGTGATCTCTTTAGGGAAAACGTAACTTGCTCTAATTAATAGAATACCAAGTCTGCAAATTCTGTGTTTTGTTTTGTTTGTTTGTTTTTTTAATGCAATACAATTGTTTTGTTTTGCTGCTGACACGATAAATAAACAGCCCCCCCTTCTTGAGACAGGCCTGCAAAGGGAACTTGGGGAAGGAATCCCTCACTCTAAACTATCTAGGCTAACTCCTCATTGAGGGCTGGAGATTGTGCGGTCAGGGATGAAACCCAACATCCGGGACCCCAGCCCCACCTTAGCCAGACCCCTGCCCCTTGTCCCTCCCTGGGATGGGGGGTGAGTGGTGGGGCAGAAGTCCTCCCCCCAGCGCCCCCTCTGTGTTCTCTCCCCCCGCAGAAGGAGACGCTGCCCTCCACCCGCCTGGCCGCGCTGCCCCACGCCTTCAGCACGCGCGCCCTGTCAGCCCAGGCCACCGAGTACAAGTTTGCCTTCATCCAGGTGCCTCAGGATGTAAGTGACCCCCAACAGTTGGAGGAAGGGACTGTGGGGGGCCGGGGGGGGCAGGTGGGCGAGGGGAGTGGGTTCAGGCCCAAAATGAAAGCCTTTGTGGGGAGAAGTGGGAGAGAGGAAGGGAACTGCTCCTTGGAGGAGGAGGAGGAGGAGGAAGGGCCAGGCCTCCAGGAGACTGATAGAAGTGGGAGGGGGGGGGCTGCAAAAGGGGCAGGGGTCTGCCCCATAGAATCCCCTCTTTGCCTCCTTGGGCACCATCTATATAAATAAAAATGTAATGTTCGTTTGTGGGATTAACTTAACTCAAAAACCATCACTTAAGTGGCTGAGGGGGAAAAGGAAGGGGCCCGAGGCTGTTAGGAATGGTGGGAGTTGGAGTCCCAAACACTTGGAGGGAAGGCCCAAGTTGCCCCAGGCCTGTGCAATGAGTATGCTGCCTAGGTACTGAAGGAATTGTGGGAGTTGGAGTCCAAAACACCTGGAGGGCGGAAGTATGCCCATGCCTGTGGTAGAAGGAACTTGGGGGGGGGAGGGAGGGAGGGAGGGGGCCCCATTTCATCTCTTTCGCTGGGGACTGCCCCCCGGGAGACTGACCCACGGCTTGTTCTGCCCCCGCCCATCCTCCCTCCCCACGTTCCCCGCAGGAGGAGGCGCGTGCGGACGCGGTGGACAGCGTGGTGCGGGACATCCAGAACACGCAGTGCCTGCTGAACGTGGAGCACGCCGGTCCGAGCTGCCCCCACGTGACCCTCCAGTTTGCGGACTCCAAGGGCGACGTGGGGCTGGGGCTGGTCAAGGAGGGGCTGGTCATGGTGGAGCCCCGCAAGGAGAAGCAGTTCCAGAAAGTGGTGCGTCCACAGCGCCGGGGGGGGGGGGGGGGGGGGGGGGGGGGGGGGGGGGGGGGGGGGGGGAGGGAGGACCCCCCCCGACACACAAACACACAGAGCCGGCTGCCTCGGCCTCCTCCCTTCTCTCAGACCGCTCTTCTGTCTCTTGGCAGGTGACGGAATACCTGAATGCCCAGGAGGCTGCGAAGAGCGCCAGGGTGAGTTTGCATGGCTCCGCCCAATGCTGCTGCAGCAGTTGGCCTCCCTTGGCCCAGGATTTGGGGGTTGTTGCACTCCCTCTGACTTTAAACACCACACAGTTGAGTAGAAATGCAATCTGTTCACTGAAGATAATTAAAAAGCAGTAAAGTAAAAAAGCACTTTAAAGGAATAGGAACATCCAAGTAGGTAGGAAGATAAGCCGGAAGAAAATAGTCCAGGGTATTAGCCCATCAAAGTTCATGAAAAACAAAGGCAGGAACGTCTAAAATAAAATCTCAAAACCAGTAAACGTGAAACCAAGGCAATTGAATACGAAAGCATAAAATCCAAGGAGCAAAACCATGAAACAAAGGCACTTAAACACGAACATTTTCCAAGCAAAGCTTCCAAGAAACAGAGACGAGATCTTATTTATTGATTTATTTACTTCCCTTGTATACCGCTCTTCTCAGCCCTCAGGCGACTCAGAGCGGTTAACAACCAATTCAACAGTACAAAACAGATCATTAGTCAATTAAAACAGCAATATCAATTAATTCACATCAAAACATCAATCCAGCAATACAACAAAATAACAATCCATCACATCTCATCAATAGAATCAGCATCCACTCTCATTGTCCATTAATCCATATTCCAATAGTCAATCAATTGCACTGCTTAGTTGAAAGCCTGTTCGAAGAGCCAGATAGGAGGGGGCCGATCTGATGTCTGTAGGAAGGCCGTTCCACAGCCGAGGGGCCACTACTGAGAAGGCCCAGTCTCTCGTCCCCACCAGGCGTGCTTGTGAGGCCGGCGGGACTGAGAGCAGGGCCTCCCCAGGCGATCTTATCGTCCTAACTGATCTTGACTTGATTCTGGTCTTGACTTGATTCCAAACGATGCTTCATCTGACTACAGATCCTGTACTTGGGACTTTTATCTCCTCGTTAAGCTATGTCCCAAGCGCTCAGAAATTGGTTTCACTTTTAGCTTTGACTCTCTTATCTTTCTTTCTCTGAGCCTGGCAGAACGCCTGAGCCATTGCTCGGCTCTTCTGTTTTGACGAATCTCCTCCCGTCTATCTATTTGCTCATTAATTTCTGCAGCTGGGCCAGGCGCCGAGCTTTTTTCAAGCTCCAAATCATGGGAATTCTCTGGTAGCAATTCAGGGAGCCCACCATCATCCCCACACCCTTCAGGGACATTCTCACGAGAAATTAAACTTTGAACAGAGATCTCCTTGTCATTTTCTGCTTCAATATCATTGGCCAGACCATCACCTTCTTGGGACTCATCACTCCCCACCATGAAGCACCCTGGTCCTTAAACACAATCACAGGCTGAGTTCCAACAGGGGTGGAGTTGCCATGGCCCTTTGGGTGGGGGTCCAGGAAGGGAGGGCGGGGTGGGAAGGGTCCTCCACCCAGGCGCTCTTGCTCACCCGCCCCCCATCTTCTCCCTTTCTTACAGTTGAACTTGTGGCGCTATGGGGACTTCCGGGCCGACGACGCGGACGAGTTCGGCTACAGCCGCTGAGCCACGGTCCCTGTCCTCCCCCCTCCCRCCCCTCCGAGCCCTGCCCCCCCCTCCAGGAAGGGGTTGGGGGCGTGTCCTGGAGCGAATGGACTTGGTGGACGCCCCATGGCTTCCCTCCAGGCTGCCCCCCTCTTTGGGCATGCGGTCAGTGGGTGGGGGGGGGGAGGTGGTGGTGATGTCGTGCGCAAAGCTTTGTATGCAAATAAAATTAGTAAGAAGCTGGGCCAGCCGTGGGACGCCTCTTTATGAGTGAATGGGGAGGGGGGGGGCATGAGTGGTGCGCAGGGGTCCCACCCTATTCTGGACACAACCTGCCTCCACCCCATAGAGATTGGGGGGGACYCACACGGCACCGTGCCTGGGGAGGGGGGGCACACAACACTGTCCCCTAACATTCCTGTGGGGCCGAGCACAAGAGGCAGGGAGAGGCAATTGCAGTGCAGGCTCAGAGTAAGAGATGCGCACACCTGTATGTATGCACTCACACCACACTCCCAGCTTGCTTCCATCCTGTTTGGCTATTTAGGACCATGGGATGTGGCCATCTCCTTTGGTAAGAGCAGACTGTTTCCAGTTCTCGGCACTGCCATTGAAGACAGAGGTTGACTCTAAACTGGAATACTGTCTTCAGAGGAAGAGGGCAACTGAAATGATCAAGGGTCTGGAGAACAAGCCCTGTGAGGAGCGGCTTAAAGAGCTGGGGATGCTGAGCCTGCAGAAGAGAAGGCTGAGAGGAATATGTCCTAGGGAAGAGGGAGCAGGCTTCCTTTCTGCTGCCCTGGAGAGAGACGAGGACGCAAGGGAGCCCTTGTCATGTTGCCAGAGCTCCGCCTTATTTAGGTAGAGATGAACCAAACTCCCAGTTTTATCAAACGGTTTATCTCGGTCGTCCTGGCCTCAGAGCCAAAGGAACCTCACCAGAGGTGCTTTCCGGTCCTTTGACTCTCTGCAGCTGGCACGGCTCCGCTTTCAAGCTCTCTCGCTCTCAATTGTGAGAGCTGTTCAGCAGTGGAACTCTCTGCCCTGGAGGGAGTGTGGTGGAGGCTCCTTCTTTGGAGGCTTTGAAGCAGAGGCTGGATGGCCATCTGTCGGGGGTGCTTTGAATGCAATTCCAACTCTATGATTGTATGACTGCGCTGGGGGCAGAAGCGGAAACCGGAGAGACCCTCCAGAGCCATCCTTTTGCCCTGGATCCCCAGAGCGACACCAAGGAGGCCAAACCTGGCCAGGAAGTGTTTGGACAGAACGGGACGCAGGGCCAGCTTCTTCCTCGGGTGAGGTGGACAAGACCCCCCAAATGGGGGCTGGAGACCCAGAGTCCAGAGAACAAAGGCGTTGCTTCCCCAAGGCCTTAGGAGGCCTCCATTGCAGGGCTGGGGGGAAGACCTCTCCCCAGTGAAGGGGAAGGGCCTTGTTGGGGGAGGATGGACGACACACTCTGGGGCCATGTGGGGCTGGGGGGGGGGGTTTGATTGCATTGGAGGAGGGGCCCCTTGGCTGGTTGGGATGGGGCCAGGGAAGCTTGGGGGTCCCAGGTGGGGCCTGAGGCTGATGGGCGGCCTTTCCTGGACCCACCTGGCACCCCCCCCCCAGGGGGTCCCTTCTCCCCTCCCCTCCTGGATTCAGAAGTGGAGCTCAAAAGGCCCATGCAATGCAAGGCTGGCCGTGGTCCCGTGGTGAGTCAGACCCCTTTTCCTCCCTCCCATGTTGTGGGCTGTGCCCCGTCTCTTTCTGGGCTGAACGTGGCCCCCCGGCATCTGTGTTGGGGTATCTGAGCCGTTCAGACTCAAAACTGTCCCTCATTTGGGGAGATTCCAGCATAAATGCAGCAGAGTCCCACAAGTACACTTCACAACCTGCACAAACTGAGGTGTGGTGAGCTGGGAGAAGCGTCTCTTCCTTAGGATGGCAGAGTCAGAACTTTACATTCAAAAGCATTTATTGAAATAAAAAGAAATACATTCTAGGTAGACAAGGTCATGGAGCTCACTCACTTACGAAGTTTCATCTTCTAAAGTGGTGAAAGGGCGAAAAAGATCCATGCAGCTACATTTTGCCTAGAGAGAGGCAAAATGCGTCCTTAGAATCACAGAATCCTAGAAGAGTTGGAAGAGACCTCCTGGGCCATCATCCAGTCCAACCCCATTCTGCCAAGAAGCAGGAATATTGCATTCAAAGCACCCCTGACAGATGGCCATCCAGCCCCTGTTTCAAAGCCTCCAAAGAAGGAGCCTCCACCACACTCTGGGGCAGAGAGTTCCACCGCTGAACGCCTCTCACAGTCAGGAAGTTCTTCCTCATGTTCAGATGTTTGAAACTATGGTTCCATTGTGTCCTAGTCTCCAGGGAAGCAGAAAGGAAGCTTGCTCCCTCCTCCTCCCTGTGGCTTCCTCTCACATATGTATACATGGCCCTCATCATATCTCCTCTCAGCCTTCTCTTCTTCAGGCTAAACATGCCCAGCTCCTTAAGCCGCTCCTCATAGGGCTTGTTCTCCAGACCCCTGATCTGCTCCCTCCTCCCTGTGGCTTCCTCTCACATATTTATACATGGCCCTCATCATATCTCCTCTCAGCCTTCTCTTCTTCAGGCTAAACATGCCCAGCTCCTTAAGCCGCTCCTCATAGGGCTTGTTCTCCAGACCCTTGATCTGCTCCCTCCTCCCTGTGGCTTCCTCTCACATATTATACATGGCCCTCATCATATCTCCTCTCATCCTTCTCTTCTTCAGGCTAAACATGCCCAGCTCCTTAAACCACTCCTCATAGGGCTTGTTCTCCAGACCCCTGATCTGCTCCCTCCTCCCTGTGGCTTCCTCTCACATATGTATACATGGCCCTCATCATATCTCCTCTCAGCCTTCTCTTCTTCAGGCTAAACATGCCCAGCTCCTTAAGCCGCTCCTCATAGGGCTTGTTCTCCAGACCCTTGATCATTTTAGTCGCCCTCCTTACTGGAAGGAAAAAAAGCAGAAGAGACTGGAAAATGGAATTGAAGCAAACTTGTCACACAGAACTCCCATGGCCAACAGAAAAGACTGGGAAGGGTTTGGTAGGCATTGACCTTGAGTTTGGGAGTTGTAGTTCACCCACATTCAGAGGGCACTGTGGACTAAAACAATGATGGATCTGGACCAAACATGACATGGACACTCAATAAGCCCAAATGGGAACACTGGTGGAGGTTGAGGAAAATAGATCTTGATATTTGGGAGTTGTAGTTGCTGGGATATATAGTTCACCTACAATCAATGCGCATTTTGAACCTCACCAACGATAGAATTGGGCCAAACATCCCACACAGAACCCCCATAACCAACATTAAATGCTGCGTTTTCAGATGGTCTTTGTGAACACCCCCTTGCAACCCCCCCTCCTCCAAGGGTCCCGACCCCCAGGCTGAGAAACACTGTCTTCCAGTCAGGAAGTTCTTCTTATGTTGAGGTGGAACCTCCTTCCCTGTAGTTTGAACCCGTTGCATCCTATATGAAGGCGACTTGTGGGACGGCCATCGGCGCAGAGGAGACTGGAAGGCACACAGAGCCGCCAACCCCTTTCGAAAGCCCCCCCCCCCCCCCCCGCTGCTGACCCCTGGCCTGCTTCTCCGCCTGCTCTGATTGTTTTTGGCCGGCCGTCTGCTGCCTGGACAGGGTTTTGTATTATTTGCTGCTGCAAATGGCGCTGGAAGTTTGAACCCAAAGGGCAGGGTGGCATTTTAATCCATTTCTCACTCAGTATGAAACAAAAAAAAATTGTGTTGCTGCTGTGCGGCCGCAATGAGGTCATGCAGAAGTGTTTGTGTGCATTTTGGGGTGGCGGGGGGGGGGGGGGGGTGTGTTGACCACAGGGACCGAGTTGTAGAAGACTTCGGTGTTTGCCATGGATCGAAATGGCAAAGGCAGGACTTTGGCTTTGGCAGGAAAGGCCTGGCTGGATCCTGGCTTCCATGGTTTGCTGGATCAGAAGGAAGGCTCCTTCCAACCAGAAAAGGGGGCCTTGCAATGGACACTGGACAGGTCTGGCATGGTCAGAGGCATGGCTCCAGCCACAGTCACCTGTGAAGAGAAGGCTGAGAGGAGATATGATGAGGGCCATGTACAAATATGTGAGAGGAAGCCACAGGAAGGAGGAGGGAGCAAGCTTGTTTTCTGCTTCCTTGGAGAGAGACTAGGACGCAATGGAGCAATGGCTTCAAACTACAAGAGAGGAGATTCCATCTGAACATGAGGAAGAACTCCCTGACTGTAAGGAGAGCCGTTCAGCAGTGGAACTCTCTGCCCCGGAGTGTGGTGGAGGTTCCTTCTTTGGAAGCTTTTAAGCAGAGGCTGGATGGCCATCTGTCAGGGGTGATTTGAATGCAATTTTCCTGCTTCTTGGCAGAATGAGGTTGGACTGGATGGCCCAGGAGGTCTCTTCCAACTCTTGGATTCTATGATTCTATGATTCTATACAAAGTTCAAGCCTACACAGGAAGTAGTTGTGTTGTGGTTAAGTTCAAAGGTTGTGGTTAAGCGCAGAGTCTGCAGGTACAAGAAGGTACTTTCCATCAAAAGGTCAAGGGAGAGGGGCTGGAAAGAGAGTACTTTCCATGACCTATTACTTGAGTATAAAAGTCAGCAGAAACAGAGGAGGGGCGCGGCGGTCACTTGAAGGGGAGCATGTGCGTATGCTGCCAGGCTGTCCGTCTTCTTCATGAAGAAATTAAAATAAACCTTGTTTTTTTTATCTTTTTTGGGACTGTCTCCTTCCTTACGTGTTCCCATGATGTGGACCTGAGAAAACCCAATTTAGGGTCTCTAACACAATGAGAGCCCTGTGTCCAGTTCTGGGCCAAGCCATTCAGGGGGGAGAGGGACAAGAAGGAATGTGGCCAGGGAAAGGCCACCAAGACGGCCCAAGCATGGAAGCCACGAATTGCTTTGAGGAGCAGCTGAGGGAGCTGCTGGGGAGGCTTGGCCTGGAGAGGAGGAGACGGAGGGAAGGGGGCAGCCTTTGACAGGGGGTCCCATTGAGGAGGGGGAAGGGCAGGAGGAAGAGGAGGGAGGGGGCCAGCCAATCCTTGTGTTCTGCTGCTCCAGAGACTGGGACACCAAGAGCCGTGGACTGAAACCGCCACCTAAACAAGAGGAAAATGTCAAGAGAATAAAAATCGCTCAGCCATGAAATACACTGCTGCTTGGGAGTGGGTGGAGTCTCCTTCCTCCTCTGAAGGTCTTGAAGCAGA